AAAAAGTAAGGCTAAAACCTTAGAAAAATCGCCAAATTTTATCAAATCTATTTTCACAAATAACTAGTTTTTCTAGTTTTTTTGACAAAAAAAACAAAAATTAATTTAGTAACGGGAACAGCATTGTTTTTTATGCCAAATGACGGTCTATTGGAGGGGCCAGTTTTCCATAAAAAGGAAAGGCCTTGGGCTTTTAAGAATCGTAAATGGTTTTGAAATATTTCTAATCAAGACACTAGCTGATTAGGTTTTTTATTAGAAAAAATATAAAATTTATTTCGTTTTGGTAAAAGTTACTTTTTTTCAAAATGACAGTTTTTTGAGAAACCAAATTTTGATTAAAAAGTTAGGCTAAAGACTTACAAAAATCACTAAATTTTTTCGAAATTTTGGCTCTAAAAACTAGTTGTTTTCTTTCATTCTGTTTCAAAAATTCAGCTAATAAATGTAGTTTTTGAATCACTTTCGCTCTTCATGAAATATTACAGTTTTTCGGATAGGCCAATTTTCCATAAAAAGGTAAGGCTATAGGCTATTGAAAACTTTTTCCTCCTAACAACAATTTAGCATTAAAAAATGTTGTTTCGTGGTGATTTTACACTAGGTAGCTTCCAAACTTTACATCAACGCATCAGAAAGAAAATGATAATGGCAATGAAGTTAATTTTAGTCATGAACTTTAATAAGGAAAAAAAGCGATATCAAAAGAAAAGATTACTTCAACAACTTTTGTCCAGTTTTTGCTTGCCTCAAAGAGTGGAATATTGAATTTTGCAGCCCTCAAAAAGTGAAACAATTCACAGAATAAACTGAAAGCAATAAGCAATAATTATTGAAAAAAAACCCTTAAATGAAGAAAATAATTGTAAAAAAAAAAATAAATTAAAAATTGAAAAAAAAATAAAAAAAGTTCAAAAACTGAGAAAATTATAGAATAACTTAGAAATTGTGAAAAAAAATAGAAAATTACAAAAGTTACAAAAATGTAAAAAGTTAAAAAATGAAAAGAAAAAAATTCAAAAGAAGAAAGAAAGTTGAAAGATGTTTAAAAAAAAAAAATTAAAAAAAGGAAGACAATTGAAGAATTGAAAAAAGGTTAAAGGCTTTGAGTCATGATAAAATGGATTGGGTATACTCTGGAAAAATTAAAATGATTGAAGAAACAAAAACTTTAAAAAGTAAAATGATAAAAAAGGAAAAAAAAATAAAAAGAGGAAAAAGTTCAAAATAGTCAAAGAATCAAACAAATTTCCAAAACACAAAAAAACCATTAGGAAAACTTAAAGCAATTTGAAAAAAAAAATGAAAAATATAATAGAGAAATGAAATTTTACAAAATTAAAACAAATTAAAAAAATTTGAAGAGTTTTAAAAAAAGTAGATAAAATTAAAAAAAAGAAAAAAATTTCAAAAAAATTTTTTTTGTGAGAAAGAAAGTAGAAAAAAAATTAAATAATAAAAAAAACGATAAAATCAAAACCTAAAGGAAAGAAAAATTAAAAAAAAATTGAAAAATGAGAAACCCAGAAAAAAGAAAATGATTAAAAAAAAATTGAAGAAAAAATTCAAAAGATATTGAAGAATTAAAAAAAAATGTAAACAAAATCAAAAAACAAAAAAATATGTTTCTGGAAAAACTGAATAACATTGAAAATTCAATAAAATTGGAATAATTATTATTGAGAAAAAATGAAAAATTGAAAAAGTGTATAACATGCTAAAAAATAAACTGATTTAAAGAAACTTGAAAAAAATCTGATAAGAATTTATATAAAAAATAAATTTCAAAATTGAAAACAAAATAGACTACAAATCTCAATAAATATAAAAAATTGAAAAATTTTAAACAGAATTCAAGATGAAAACAATATACAAAGCTAGAAAAATGGAAAAAATTTAAAAAAACTAAAATTAAAAAATGGAAGTCCAAAAGAACTATTTTAAAAATTGAAAAAATTAAAAAATACTTTAAAGATAAAAAACTTCAAAAAATAAATATATTTTAAAAATGAATACAATAACTCAAACTTATAGAAACATTTCAAAAACAGACAAAAAATGTCAATAAATAAAAAAACTTGAGAAAAGAAGAAAACTTAAAAAGTTTTTTGATGTGAAAAAAAAGATTATTAAAAATTAGAAAAAAAGAAAAAAATCTCAAAATAGAAAACAAATAAACAATAAATATAGAGAAGAAAGGAAATTTAAATTGATGCAAAAATTGAAAAAACATTAAAACAAAGGAAAAAAATTATTAAAGGTGAAAAATAAAATTTACAGAAATGACTAAGAAAATAATTGAAAAGATTCAAACTTAAAAAAAAAGAAATAGGAAAAAGTAGAATTTTTGTATAGAAAAAAAAAACTGGAAAAAATGTTGAAAAGAATAAGTCTAGAAAAATCGAAAAATTGAAAAATAAATTTCAATAAATAAATGAATCTTTAAAAAACAAAAAAAATGTAAAAAAAATTTGAAAAATCGAAAATGAAAAAAACCATTCAAAAAGGAAAAATAATTTAGGAGAAGATAAAAAAATAAAAAAAAACCAACATTGAAAAATATGAAAAGAAACAAAAAAAGTAAAACTTTTCGAGAAATGAAAAAATTTGAAAAAAGGAACTAAATAAAAAATTGAAAAAAAATTTAAAAGATTCATGAAAAAGAACAAATCAAAAACTTCGAAATTGTTTTATAAATAACAAAAACAATGAGTTGAAAAAACTCCAAAAATAAAAAAAACATTTAATAAAAAGTTCAGATGTTCAAAAATGAGGAAAAAAACATAATTTGAATAAAAAAAAATGCAGAAGGATTATATCAGAATATTGTAATATAATGGGTAAAAAACACAAAACTAAAAAAAAGCGAATGAAATTTGAAGGCAATTAAAATTGAAAAAAAATATTAAATAATTCATGAAATCTCAAAAAATTATCTATATGAGAAATAACTTTTGAAGAAAAAAGACAGTTTTGAAAATAAGTCAGTCAATATAAAAGTTTTGAAAGAAGTCAATATAATGAAGAAATTGAAGAAAATGAAGATAAAAATGAAGAAAAAGTCAAAATAAGGGACAAAAATACAAAAAAGGAAGAAAAAAACAAATAAAGAAAAAAAAAATTGAAAAGAAAAATATTTTTTGATTTTTTAATTTTTTTCAAAGACTAGAAAATTATAAAAATCCAGGAAAAAATAAATTGGAATAAAATGTAATCAAAAGTTGAAAAAACTTAAAATAATCAAAAACTTCTAAACAGAACAAAATTTTTATAGGAAATGAGAGGAGACTAGAACACTCAATAAATGAATAAAAAAATAATCCGAAAAATAAAAAAGAAGGAAAAATACCAGATAAGAAATTAAAATTTTTAAAAACTTTCATAAATTAGAAAAATACCGAACAAGCTAAAAAATGAAATTATTTAAAAAAAAATAACCAAAAGTTCAGAACGAATTTTAAAAAATGAAAAACAATTCAATGTTTCAATAGATTGGAAAATTAATCAAAAACAATATATCAATAAAAAATGATTTTGTCAAAGCTTACACAGTGTTGGTCGGTAATGCAAAGGGTCGACCAAATTTGCAAACTCAAACCTTAACGCTTTTGCCAACACTTTCTCCAACACTAAACCTTACCTTAACCTTAACCCAAACCCTAACTCTTACCCTAACCCTAACCCTAACCCTAACCCTAACCCTAACCCTAGCCCTAATCCTAACACTAACTCTCAACCTGGCCCTTACGTTAACATTAAATCTCAACCTAGCCCTTACCTTAACCTTAACCCAAACCCTAACCCTAACCCTAATCATAACCCTGACACTAACCCTAACCCTTACTCTAACCCTAACATTATTCCTAACCCTAACCGTAACCGTAACCCTAACCCTAACCGTAACCCTAACCCCTACTCTAACACTAACCCTAACCCTAACCCTAACCATAAACTTTACCCTAACCCTAACCCTAACCGTAACCCTAACCCTAACCCTAACCCTAACCCTAACCCTAACCCTAACCCTAACCCTAACCCTAACCCTAACCCTAACCCTAACCCTAACCCTAACCCTAACCCTAACCCTAACCCTAACTCTAACCATAACCCTAACCCTAATGCCGACATTAAGCCTTATCCTAACCCTAACCCTAACCCTAACCCTAAACATAACCCTAACCCTAACCCTAACCCTAACCGTAACCCTAACCCTAACCCTAACTCTAACCCTAACCCTAACCCTAACCCCAACCCTAACCCCAACCCTAACCCTAACCCTAACCCTCACCTAAACCCTAACCCTAACCGTAACCCTAACCCCTACTCTAACACTAACCCTAACCCTAACCCTAACCATAAACTTTACCCTAACCCTAACCCTAACCGTAACCCTAACCCTAACCCTAAGCCTAACCCTAACCCTTACTCTAACACTAACCCTAACCCTAACCCTAACCCTAAACTTTACCGTAACCCTAACCCTAACCATAACCCTAACCCTAACCCTAACCCTAAACCTAACCCTAACCCTTACTCTATCACTAACCCTAACCCTAACCCTAACCATAAACTTTACCCTAACCCTAACCCTAACCGTAACCCTAACCCTAACCCTAAGCCTAACCCTAACCCTTACTCTAACACTAACCCTAACCCTAACCCTAACCCTAAACTTTACCCTAACCCTAACCCTAACCATAACCCTAACCCTAACCCTTACTCTAACCCTAACACTAATCCAAACCCTAACCATAAC